GACAGCTGCAGATAGGTTGTAAAATATTTTCCTTGCTGCATTGCAATATGTCTGAGACTAGTCAAACGTAGGAACAGAGTATTCGTGGAAATCTAAAATTATTTGTTGTCACCGCTTCACTACTTTCTGACAAAGTTGGACCCATATGAGCGGGGACTCGTATGCATCCTGTCCACGACACATATAAGTCCAAACATGGTTGCACTTCGTCCCAATTACGACTTCACAGAGCAACGTACACCAGCCTGCTTCAACATAGAAAAACCGAGTCAAGAGAAACTAGACACAAGGTGTCAATCGAGAAAACCTTTCGGTGAATCAGAGAGCACATACTCGCACATCAGGTTGATGCTCCGTTGCCAGGCAGCTTTTGCTGCAGGTCCACTGGGGTACGAAGCCAAGCCAATCCTGTGCCACATTTTACTAACTCCCACACCTCGGAGGACGACGAAACGGCAAACTTCGAGTGGGGGGGAACTGAAACTTGAGAGATACCAGTCCCCCGTACAGAGCAAACTTCGAGAGAGAGAACTGAGAATTCGAGTGATACAACTTCCGTATAGGAGGGGGCTGCACTGCACGCCAAGCAATTCTATTCTTAGTCTAAGTGCACATTCGAACACAGGTCTGTATTTCTTAAGTTCGTGTTATAGGATATGACAACCTTTACATGGATCAGCACGTGCTTAAACCACCCACCTCTCCATCCGGACCTAAATCTGACCACTCAGAAATTGCAATTCACCGACCCTATAATCAACAGAGACACCATGAGGAAAAATGATTGTGGTACCCTTCCTCCCCTAACCTCTACCAGGCCTGCGCACTGTAGATTCTGTCCTGAGACTTGTGGGCAAGAAAAATGAAGTGCACAGGCAGCTGGAGTTGGGGTGGTATGAGAGAGCATTTCACATGGCAGCAAATGAGACTTTCCAAGCTAAGGTGCCTTTCAACATGTTTGGATAGTGGGCAACGTTGCTCAATCCCAATGGGGAGGATTTTGCAGGCCGATCCATATCGTTCCATTTCACTGCTTTTCGAAAGGGTGAAACCAAAGAGCAGGGGAAAACCAAAGAGCGCTTCAGGAGAACACATAGCTGTCTTCTGGCATAAACAACCAAAGCACTGATGGTAAATCAGTTCCAATGCCTTGACAGTGCGCACATGTTTACGGAGAAAAAGGTTCATTGCCCAGAGCCCGTATGGATTAAGAAAGTTCAAGAGAAACGGTTAACGGGGGCCCAAATATTCGCCGTTTTCGTTGGCAATTGCGCTGAAATTTTAAAAACAAACGATATGAGACCATAGTGCAAACGTCAAAAAAGGAAACAGGCCAAAAAGAACCAAAAAAAAACAAAAAAAAACTATGAAACCCTAACACAAAGACACCGTCCGAGTCTAAATGAAGCGTCCAACGAACTCAACTTTTTCATTATTGATCCGAACATGTCAAAACTGCACACATGACGCACCCTACAGCACATATATATCACACAAAAAGGAAAACAAGAAAAAAAGCAAAAATTCAGCACAATATGACAGTTTCAGTGCAATTCAGTGCAAAATTCGTCGAAAATAACACCCCTGGTTAACCGCATGTGAAGTTCAAGGCAGTACATTGTGTGTATGGAAATCGAGGAAGGCATCTCAAGTGAACTAGATGACCTGTTGCCACTTCGCCCGCAAAAACAAATATGATGCGTCACACATTCACAGAGGTACATGACCAATGCTCTCTCTCTCTCTCTCACACCCACACGATCTCTTTCTCTCTTACACTCACAGAAAATAAAACGAAAAAAAAGAAAAGACAGAAAAGATTGCACCAAGTGGTACCCCTCCACACCACTGGTGTCCCCTTCAGTCCGCCTCCTCACCCTCTTCCTTGCCCACTCCCTTGCCTCAACTGGTGCACCCATCCTCCTCCGACGGTTGTAAGTCTGCTGCTTCGTCCTGATTTCAGATCCCCAACGACTGCCACACCCATGATCCTTTTCCCTGATCCTGACTTCCCCGCATTCTCCTCTCCATCACCATTGCACTCCAATCCAGAGTCTTTCACGTCATCTCCCAAGTCTTTTCCCTCCGCTTTTGCACTTGTAGTACATGACCTAATCACATCACCATGTCCGATCTTCATGTCCCTCTTTTCCTCTCCATTTCTTCCCGATGCTGCCCTGCCTCTTCTCCTTTTCCCAATCAGAGTCAATACGAAGGAAAAAAACACAACAGCGTGCTTCTATCCCTTCCCGATGCAACTTCCTGATGTCTGCGACATAATATTCCTACACTTCTCGTGGTCTCTCTTACCATGTCATATATCATGCTCCATATCTTCAGCATCCCCATGATCATGCTCTCTCTCTCTCTCTCTCTCTCTCTCTCTCTCTCTCTCTCTCTCCCAATATTTGCCATGGTTCCTTTTTTTTTGGGAAACGTAAAGGATTCCATTGTCATGAAAACACGAGGCCGGGAATTCCTCACAAAACAAGCCGTAATGTAACAATGTGCCTGTCTGGGACCATTACCCACGGTTGGTTTGTGGGTCTTACTTACCCCAACGACAGTTGGCAGAGCCAAAACGAGCAAAATTCAAATGAATAAAAAGTCGGAGGGGGCTACGCAACCGTAGAAAAGGGGTAAAATAACAAAGTAGAGAATCAACCACGAGAACCAAAAACTAAGTATTAAACCACCAGTACTTGGCCCAGCTATGGGCCGCGGAGGTGTCCCGTTAACGCGCCGCATTCGAGGGGGGTCTCGTTCACATGAACGGTCGGTCACTGAGAATTGCGACGTAGAAAAGAAAACCAAAAAAAAGAAAGAATACTAAGTTGGGCGAGGGTCGTGGTCACGTCTGTTCTTGGTGGAATGCTCGTAACTAGCATTTCAGGTAGATTCTGAATGTCTATTTTTTCTGCTTTTGTTTCTTTTCATTTCTCTTAGATACCCCTGCCAGCGAGGCAGGGCATATCCCGTGATCTACTGAGCATCCCTCGTTGAGGGCAACTCACACTTGCACACACAAATGTATCTAACTAATCTCAGGGCCAAATTCATGTTTCGTTTTTTTTTCTTCTTTGAGATTCATTTCTTTGTTCTTTTTTTTTCGTTATTTTACTTTCGGATTCTGACAAAAACGTCACGGGGCTTATACACCCAAACTGCGACGTGCTCACATTATCACTCAGGAGAATTGCATCCAACTGCATTCACATCCACACGGTTGTTGTTTGTTTTTTTTCTTTTTTGCTGTTGGCCCCCAGCCTCGGCCCGTCCAACTACTGGTACTGCCAGGCTTGGCAGGCTCAACATACCGGTCGCTGGAGGCTCGGAATTGATAGCTGTGCCAAGCACTGGTAGTTTTAAGTCTAAGAGCACCCGTCTTAGAACTAGTCGACACCCTGTGCTCACGGTTAGGCCCCTGTAGATCTCCCCACCTATTGCGGCACTCTCGAGCCCTTTCTGTGTCCCTCTTCCTTCCTACTGCGGAACACTCTCGAGCCCTTTCTGCCCCTCTTCCTTCCTACTGCGGAATTTTACCAACCAAGTGCGCCTGCTTGGATATTTGCCATGTTCGCTATTATGAGGTATGTGTGCATGTTGTGTGCGTGTGCACGCGTGTTGTTTTAAAAGACCCCAGATTACCTCTCTTTCCCTCGAGAAATCACCACAAGCCATCCATAACGAAAAGTATAGATAGGCAATATAATAGAAAATGCAAGGTTGGCCACATTTGCCTGGTTCAGCGCCAAGTGCCCAGACACCCGTCTGCCAGAAAAGCGGCACACTCGCACATATGCACATGCATACATGTATCTTTCAAACCATAAGGGGATGGGGGGCAGAAGGCAACTTACCTAAGACAGAAGACCACTCCAGCAAGAAAAACCGACCCGGACCCCTCGAAAGGTCCGAAAAAACAAGGAGAGCCTTCCACATCGCCCCACAAAAAACTAATTTACCAAAAGCAAATCAAATATGACAGCATTGGAATTCCTGACATTCATCCCAAACTACTTACCAGCGTCACTCCCAAAGAGGAATAAGATACGAGACAGCTAACCTAAGACAGAAGACTCCTCCAGCAAGAACGCACCAACCCGGTGTGTGTGTATGTGTGTGCGCACGTGAATGGGTTTGTTCGTGTGCGCTGGTGTGTGTGCCGATGTGTATGCGTGTGCGTGTGCATGATTGTGCTCGTGCGTGTGATTGTCACATTCGCCATACATAACTCCGCAAAAGCGAAGAATGACAGACTGTTTCGCAGGACTTACTCATAGAGGAGAGGAACCTCAACAGTCTGCCCGGGATCCAAGTGCATACATGCGTGGGCATGTGTCCAGGATGCAAGTGCATACACGTGTGACCATGTGCGTGTCCAGATTACGAATGTGAACATGCACGGGTATGTATGTGTCCATGTGCGTGCTTGCTTTCGCAGGGGAAAGAGGGCGCCTTTGACCGTCAGCAAGAAACATCAGCCACACTACAGAGCCATAAATTCAGAGAGCCACACATTCAGCGCGCAGAGAGAGTCTATAAGACGTTTGTCAGCTTCGTTACGATGCAGCACATCCTGTAGAGTTTGTCACCGGGTCGCGCATAGAGTATGACCAGGCCCTGAACTCAACGGGCCGTCAGCTGGCAAATGCCCAACATCCACTGGGCGTTAGGCCCGACAGTTTTTTCCAGTGCCTACCATCCCGTACAGGCCCTCTTTGATCCAGAGCGTCGGAGTGGCTGCATCTTGAAATCCGTATTGCCAATGCTCTGCAGCGTCCATATAAGCAAATCTGAAATAACCATTCGTTTTTCATTTTGTATTGTATGTTCTCGTTTTGTTGATGGGCCCTTAAGAGGTCGCGGGCTGCTTCACAAGTAGAGTAGAGAGACAAGCAACAAAGCGTCTCTAATGGACGGCCTGGATGGTCGCGCAATCTTAAAGTCTTCAACATCGTGCGGAAATCTGGACCGCCGGGCCGGTAGGACCGTGGCCAGCCGGGATTGCCCAATTCTCACGTTAGCAATTTCTATCAAGTGTAGGGATAAAATAGAGCACCATACTGAACTCGGGCCGTAACAATGCAATTTCTTTCCCCCTTCCTTTAGCGCACTTAACAGCCCAGAGCTGCAAAGACTATTGGACGCACGAGTGAAATTCCATGTACATTGTTCCGTTCAATTCTCATTCTCGTAACTGCCAAGACCAGCTGCAGACTCGCCCTTTCACCTGCTGCTCATGCATGATCTTCGGAACGACAAAGCATTCAGTACATCTCTTTCAATAGAACAACACGTCCTGGTTCCACTACACGATAACAGCCATCCAACTATACTCGGAATACCAGAGGCTTCCATGCTGATTTTGTAACACTCAGCACTGCAGTCCCCACTCTCATGTAACCAAGAGTGAATCCGTACGCAGAGTTTGTAACACTCGTAAACTGAACTTTACAAAGCAAAGAGTTTGCAGGACTCGGACACTGCACTCCACGCTTATACATAACGACGAAATTGAAACACTTCCGAAGGATTTCAAATAGGTTAGCAATGCCATAGCACACGAGCGCTAGCTCAGGAAAGAAATACTCCACTCAACATGAACACCACCACATCGAAGGATAGAAATAAGTGACATCGCGCACCGTCAAACAAAGACGCCGATCACCATCAGAACCATTCAGATATGAGCTGACTCATATGCATCCTGTCCACAACGCATTTAAGTCCAAACATGGTTGCACTTCACCCCAACACCGACTTCACAGAGCAACATATACCAGCCTGCTTCAACGTAGAAAAAACGAACAACATATACCAGCCTGCTTCACCATAGAAAAACCGACTCGAAACACAAGGTGTCAATTGAGAAAACATTTCGGTGAATCAGAGAACACATACTCGCACATCAGATTGATGCTCCATAGCCAGGCGGCTTTTGCTGACACGTACACCCTACAGCTCCAGACCAGCAAAAAAGGTAAGATTCCACTTGGACAACGATAGCCACCACTCGCAATCAGCAACAAGTCTGTCCTCGCTCTCACAATCAGGAGACAGAAAATGACAGGGAAAAAGAACAGCGCATGTCTGCCTCCACTCTGGCCATCACAGCATCTTTTATCATTGCCACACCGCACCACATACATCCTCATCCTACCTCTTCTTCATGCGAACGGGCAACACTCCCACACCCAGAAGTCCCCTTACCCCTCTCTCCCTCCCATTTCATTCCTCCCTTCCTTTGTCTATGTACATCAGATCCACCCAAAACCATTCCCAACAGCTCTGCAAGACTTCCGACCTCGCGGCCAACACATCCTCCCAAGACAAAGCAATCACAACCGTGGCAAAACTCTACTCGTCTTTATATTTCCCGCAATAAGAACGTGGTCATGTGACAAGATCCCAAAACTGCAACACGCAGCACCGCTGACCACGCTTCTCAGCTAGGCTATACGGTGGTAAGACACGAGATTCTTCACGTCGTTAGCTCCATGATGGCATTGACAATGTCTCCACCCGTATTCTTCAGAGCCTGAATAGCCTTAGCACGAGAAACACCGGCCTGGGTTTGGACGAGTTCAACATCCTTGGGCTCAACGCCGGTCTCGTCAACCTCCTCTTCCTCTACATCGGCTGCCGAAGGAACTTCCGAAATCTTCTGCTCCACCTGGGCCAAATCAGGAGCCTTGAACTGCTCGGCAGCATTGAACTGCGCCTGCGAAGTCAGGTCCTCGATCTTGGCCTCACCAAATATGATGTAGGTGTCCGAATTGGGGCTTTTAAAAACGTCCGGCTTCGAGATCACAAAGAGAATCTGCGTCACAGCAAACAGGAAGGACAAGGACGTCATTAAATCAGAAAGGGCTCGCACATTGCACCTCCACATCCTGAGGCGCTTACTGGAAGTCCCCTAGCACAGCACTCATAGCCCAATACTACATGACCTATTACCGCTTCAATCGCAAGAACAAACGCGACCGGTGATGCAGAAAATCTGGAGGCAACCGACAGATGCAAACTCTCTCTCTCTCTCTCTAACACACACACACACACACACAGAAACCGTAAAAAACAGAAAACGAAAAATAACACGTATGGCCCCCTGCACAGATTTCTACCTTATCTCCCCTTCCCCTCCCTTTCTAACACACGCACACACAGAGAAACCGTACAAAACAGAAAACGAAGAAAATCCACAGACTTCTACCTGATCTCCCCTTCCGCCCCCTGCACAGACTTCTACATTATCTCCCCTTCCCCGCTAACACTTCCCCCTCCCCCGTCACTCTCTCTCTCCCTCTCTCACACACACACACAAACGAAACGGGAAAAAAAAAGGAACCGTGAAAACAGATTGTGTCACGCTGCGCACTTTCACCTCCCCCCACCCACCGCCGAAGTCGACCGGTTTCCCCCTCACCCATCTCTCTCTCTCTCTCTCTTTATGTCTCTATCTCCCTTCTCTCTCACACACAAACACAAACCGAAAAGAACACAGGAAACGAAAAACGACATCACGCCTTCAACCCACCGAAGACCACCTCGACTTCCCCCGAGCTCTCTCCCCTTCCCACCGCCTCTCTCTCTCTCTCTCTCTCTCTCTCTCTCTCTCTCCCCCTCTGTGTGTGTGTGTGTGTGCACAAACACATTAAACCGAGAAGTCAAAAGAAAGCACGATTCCGCACCATGTATCCTAGCCACGTTCACGATTTCCCACCTTCAACCCCCCGGC